ATTGACTCCCAGGAAATATCAGAGGGGGGGTCCTTCAGAAGCCTCCTTGCAGATGACAGTGCTGGCCTGGAGATAACAGGATTGCTCTGGGAACAGTGCCCTCTGAGCTTCTTTTAGGAGCTAAAGCGAATCCCAGCTTGGCCCAGGGGGGTTGCTTGTGCTCCGGTTAAGCAGCACCAGCTCTCTCCCCCCCCCCACTCCTTCCCAGCCTGCTGAGGGAGGTTTTCCAACTCCCACTAAAGTTCTGGAATAGAAAACTCCCTGGAGATTTTTTTCTGCTGCAAAGAAAATTCCAGCTTGGGGCAAAGGTTCTTATCTCAAAGGCAACGGTGTCACCCCCTGCACAAACCACACCCTGGGAGCCCCTCTGGTGCTCCCCTCCCCCAGGTCAGGAAATCTGGGATCAGAGAGCTCCAGGAAAATGGGAGAAAGGCAGAACCTCCAGATCTACATCCAGGCAGTCCATTCTTCCTTCACCCTCTGATCGCATCACATCAGCACGACAAATCTGCCTCCATCCCGCCTGCACAGCCCCTGCAGGTGTTCCACTGCTGCTCAAACAGCATTAAAATCACATTTAAATTGCAGAAGAGTTTAGCCTGATGGTTTCCTGCTGCTCTGAGCTGCAGCAACAGAGAAAACACCCCTGTGAGGGTGCTGAGGGCTCAGGGCCTCTCCCAAAACAAGTGCATTAAACACCAAGGCAGCAAGAATCCCTTTTCCCCTCCGGTTTTTGCTGTCTGTGACCCTGTAAACATTATTTACAAACTTTTCCGGGCTGTTTATTCCTCTTGGTCCTTTCATCTTCGGGGAGGAGCAGGAACAGAGAGGGACCCTGAGCACCCAGCCAGGCTCAGGGGGCAGGAAAACAGAGCCAGGCTGGTTTTCCAAGGCTCTTCTGAGTGGAAAAACCAAACCTTTTCCATCAGAGAAACACAACTTCACTCCTCACTGAGCCCACCCAGGGAGGGCATTCCCTGGGGGCGATTTAGGAGGTACCAAAGTCTTTCCTAAGGCAAAGTCTGGGAGCCCAAACTCACCCCCAGGAGATGATTTAGAAGGTACTAAAGTCTTCCCAAAAGGAACCTGCGACTCCCCCCTCCCGCCCCCTCCATTCCCTGGGATGGTTTAAAAGGTACCGAAATCTTTCCTAAGGGAAGGTCTGGAGCCCCAGACTCATTCCCTGGGATGATTTAGGAGGTGGCCAAGTCTTCCCAAAGGAAACCTGGGAGGTCTGGAACCCCAACCCCTCATTCCCTGTGGAAGACTTCCAAAAGGGAACCTGCAGGGTTTGTAACCGCCCCCACCCCCATTCCCTGGAGATGATTCGGGACGTACCAAAGACATTCCTAAGGGAAGCTCTGGAACCCCAACCCTCACTCCCTGGGAACGATTTGGGACGTACCAAAGTCTTTCCTTAAGGGAAGGTTTGGACCCCCCGCCCCTTCATTCCTTGGGGATGATTCGGGAGACACCAAAGACCCCCCCTTAGGGCAGGTTTGTAACGCCCCCCATTCCCCAGGGGTGATTTCGGAGGCACCAAAGGCCCCCCCCAAGGAAAGGTTCGTACCCGGGATACCCCACAAAACACTGTTCACATCCCCATCTCCGGGGGCGGGATCCGCTCCTTCGGGGGGTGACAAACAAACTCAACGAGGGGCAAATAAATGCCCCACACACACACACCACCCACCCCACCCACCCCACACCCCACGAGAGGGTCACGCAGCGGCCGCGCCAGGAGGAGGCGGGACGCCCCGCTGCCCCCCGTACTCCCTCGTCTCTCCCCACCCTCCTGCGCCCCCAAGATCGCCCCGCACCTTGTCCTGGGGGTCCCGGGCCCCGCCGGGGCCGCGCCCGGGCCGCTGCCGCACCTCGGCCATGCCGGACCCGCGCCCGCCGCCCGCCGCCGCCAGGGGGCGCCACCGCGCTGCGCGCCGGCCAATGGGCGGCGCGGGATGCCCCGAGGGGGCGGGGTTTGTGTGGCCCTGGCCACGCCCAGGTGTGGCGGGCTGGTGGAGGGCGCCATGTTGGGGAGGGAGCGGCGCCGCCTGGGAACCAATGGGAGGCGAGGGATGAGAGAAAGGGCGGGGCTTGGGGCGGACCCGGATGTTGGGGGGCGCCATGATGGAGGCGAGAGTGCGTCACTGAGGGAGGGAGGGAGCGAGGGGGGAGCCCCGCGCGCGGGAAGGTGTTTATCCTAACGGCACCAACGGGCTGGGCCTGCGGACGCTTTTCGCTCCGGCCCGCAGTTCCCGTCAGGAAGCGGTGTCTGAGGAGGGGCGCGCCCGCCGCGCTGTCCCTGCGGGCAGGCCCTGAGGGGTCAGCGCTCCCCTCAGCCGAGGCCCTGCAGGGATCGGGGAGTCCTTCGGGGGGGACCCTGCAAGGGATCGGTCCCCCCTCAGCCGCCGGGCCCCGCCGCCATCGCTGCGCAGCGAGGCGGGGGCCGCTGCTCTGTGTAACGCGCGCGGTGATTGGCTCCCGCTGCGTGGCGGGGCGGGAGTACGGGGCGGAGCGGCGCTGTGATTGGTCGGCATCGAGGGGGGTCTTCTATGAAAGCGCCGATGAGATTGGGCAGAGGGAGGGGAGGGCCGCTGGCGATTGGCTGTCGCGTGGCGGTGGGCGGGGCGACAGAGCCTATAAAGGGAGCTGTTGGCGGGAGGCCTGCTCAGTCCTCCGTCGCTTCTCGTGTGTTTGCTCTGCCGCTGCTCCCGCTGGTGCTGCCGCCAAGATGTTCGAGGCGCGGCTGGTGCAGGGCTCGGTGCTCAAGCGGGTGCTGGAGGCCCTCAAGGACCTCATCACCGAGGCCTGCTGGGACCTGGGCTCGGGCGGCATCAGCCTGCAGAGCATGGACTCCTCGCACGTCTCCCTGGTGCAGCTCACGCTGCGCTCCGAGGGCTTCGACACGTACCGCTGCGACCGCAACATCGCCATGGGCGTCAACCTGTCCAGGTCGGGCGGCGGCGAGGCCTCAGCGGGACGCGCTGGGACGGGGCGGCCGAGAGGGGGCTGAGGGCGGCGGGGAAGGGGGGGGGTGTGAGGGGGTATGCGGGTCTGTGAGGGGGAATGCGGGGTGAAGGAGCAGCCCTTGGGGAGCGGGGGGCGCCCGGAGCCCCCTCAGCCCTTCTTCTCCCCCTCCCTCCCCAAATTCCCCTCACGGTTCTCGCGCCTTTTTTTTTTTTTTTTTTTTTTTTTCCTCCCGCGGCGCGCGCGCCGTGACGTCACTGCCGGCGCCGAGTGGCGGGAAAAGCCGGCGCGGGGCGGGAGGAGCCGCGGCCATGGAGCTTTGGAGACACGGATCGCGGCTCTCCAGTCACTGAGGCTGGAAAAAAACTCTGAGATCATCGAGTCCATCCTAAACCTCCCCTGGGGCAGCTCAAGGCTGTGCCGTCTTGTCCTGCTGCTGGTTCCTGGGAGCAGAGCCCGACCCCCCCCGGCTCCCCCTCCTGTCAGGGGGTTGCAGAGAGTGAGAAGGTCCCCCCTGAGCCTCCTCCTGTCCAGGCTGAGCCCCCCCAGCTCCCTCAGCTGCTCCTCCCAGCACTTGTGCTCCAGCCCCTTCCCCAGCCTCGTTGCCCTTTTTGGTCCTTACAGAATCCTGGGGGCGGGGGGCGTCAGGAGGAGCACTGGGAGCAGGGCAGGGAGCGATCCTGCCCCTCTGCTCAGCCCTGCAGTGCTGTGTCCAGGGACATGGAGCTTCTCTCCTGAGAGGAAAGGCTGAGGGAGCTGGGGCTGCTCAGCCTGCAGGTGGGACCAGTGACCCTCTGTGGTCCCTCCCAACCTCACCCACTCCGTGAATCAGCTCTGTCACTGTGTCCAGCTGTGGGACAGGAATGTCCTCCTGTCCTCTGCAGGATGCTCAGCCCTGTGCTGCTCTTGGGGCAAGAGGCACTTTGGGACTCTGAAGGCTGAATAACACCGGGATTTGATGTGGAATACAGTCCCTACACCCCCCTGTTTTTCCAACAGGGTTAAAAGGAGAGCTCTCACTGATAGCTGAGATTGTCTGGGAGTGCAGCATCCAAAAGGTTGATCCCTAAAAAGAGTTTACTGCTTTTATTAAAGTTCACACAAATCTAACCATCACATGGATCTTGAAAATTCCATCCGGGAATTATCCCAATCAGCAATTTGGGAGTGACAGTCCCAACATCATCCAGAGCTGAAAACACGGATTGGAGTATTTTATTCTGACAACTGCAGCATCACAGCTTCCAATCCTGAGGGTCACCTGCCTTTTCTTCCCCCTCCAGCATGTCCAAAATCCTGAAGTGTGCAGGGAATGAGGACATCATCACCCTGCGGGCGGAGGACAACGCAGACACCTTGGCCCTGGTGTTCGAGGCACCGAGTGAGTGTTGAGTTTGGGAGCTCCTTTGCTGGTGGGATGTTCTCAGGCAGCCTCACAAACCCCACATGTGGTTCCTGAACCACACCGAGGGAAGGAAAGGGGAGGGGACACCTTATACTCGAACTCTTGGGGAGTCTGGAGATCTAAACTTGGCCAATACTTCCTTTGTAAGGGGAAGGCTCTTGTCTAGGCCAGGCACAGGTGCCCTTACCTGTCCTTTTTTCAGCCTGTAAGAGGCTGTTTGAGGCACTTCCAGATTTCCAGCCCCAAGGAAACGAGGTGGATCTCACTGTCATCACTGAGGTGGCTTTGGGGTGGGGGGAAGAGTGGCAGAAGTTAAATTCGGGTTGGTAACACTTGGCCACGCTGCACCTTGTTCGTTTGGGTCAGGAGGAGGTTTCTGATCATGAGGTGAAGCTGATGGATAACAGAAGTTAAATTCGGGTTGGTAACTACTCAGGAACACTTGGCCACACTGTGCTTTGCTCCTTTAGATCAGGAGAAGGTCTCGGATTACGAGATGAAGCTGATGGATCTGGACGTGGAGCAGCTCGGCATTCCAGTAAGTGGGGGCCCGAGTGGCTGATTTCTGAAGGTGTTTAAAACCCGTGCCAGGGCTGGAGGGTGAGTGAAGGTAGCTGTGTGAGGGCGGTGGGGCTGGCAGGGCAGCGCTGGCTGTGCCCCCAGGAGCAGGAGTACAGCTGCGTGGTGAAGATGCCGTCGGCGGAGTTCGCGCGGATCTGCCGCGACCTGAGCCACATTGGCGACGCCGTCGTCATCTCCTGCGCCAAGGACGGCGTCAAGTTCTCTGCCAACGGAGAGCTGGGCAACGGCAACATCAAACTGTCCCAGACCAGCAACGTGGACAAGGAGGAGGAGGCTGTGAGTGCACGGAGCTGCTCTGGATGAGCCTGAGGGGTTGGGGTTGGAAGGGACCTTCAGGGGGCTGCTGGTGCACCCAGAGAGTGGTTGGCACTGAACAGGCTCCCCAGGGCAGTGGGCACAGCCCCAAGGCTGCCAGAGCTGCAGGAGGCTTTGGATGATCCTCTTGTAGATGGATCTGTGCAGGGCTGAGGGTATGACTGGATGGTCCTTGTGGGTCCCTCCCAGCTCAGGAATGCCCTGCAATTCCATGAGCCCCTGCAGTGAGCAGGGACAGAGCTGTGTCTGCCCCTGGGGTGTGGATTGTACTCCACAAATCGTGGCCAGTTTGAGGTCCTTGCCCTGGGCCCCAAGTGCTGACCAGGACAGTGGGAGCAGCCCTGCCCTCTGAGATGTCCCAGTCACTTGTGTGAGTCATTCTCTGGAAGGAGCTCCTGCAGCTGCATTTCCTGAGCTGTGCCCTGGTTTTTTTAGGTCACAATAGAGATGAACGAGCCAGTCCAGCTGACCTTTGCCCTGAGGTACCTGAACTTCTTCACCAAAGCCACCCCCCTGTCCCCTACAGTCACACTCAGCATGTCTGCAGACGTTCCTCTGGGTGAGTGCAAGTGGCTCTGCTGGAGAAATCTTGCAGGATTGGAGCTTGTGAGTTGACTTTGCTG